CCTTGATTCTCTTCCTTTCCTTCCTACTTTCTAATCTTTCCTTCCTTCCTTCCTTTCTTCTTTCTCTCTCTCTCTCCCTTCTCTTTCTCTCTCTCTCTCTCTCTCTCTCTCTCTCTCTCTCTCTCTCTCTATCACACTCTCTCTCTCACAACGAAGTCCCTACTCTTCGATTTTCCCTCATTTGGCTGGGGCTATCCGCTCGTTCGAGCGACCTTCTTACGCGAGATGCGCGCGTATGTGCGCGGAAGGGGTAGACGAACGACAATGTATAAGTATGTTTCAAGATACTTTCTCTTATCTCTCTTTCTCTCTCTCTCTCTCTCTCTCAATAATAGGCTTCGATGATTCTGCTAAAGTATAACTAAAGCACCTTTGTCTTTCAGAGACTTCAATCCTTCTTGAAATAACCTTTCGATCGCTACGCTAGATGTAGCGGAGCCGCTTGAACTACATTGTAAATAGGTTTCACTGAGGGAACATCTCTCTCTCTCTCTCTCTCTTTCTCTCTCCCTCTCTCTCTCTCTCTCTCTCTCGCTTCATCTTCTTCTTAAGTTTATTACAATTAAGGGAGAATCTTATCAAATCTATAATACGATCTTCCGATAATCTGTACGATCTAAAGTTATGTAATAAACGTAAAAACGATATCGTTCGTTAGAAATTTATGAGTGTATGAAAATATTTTATAATCCAAGTAGTATAATCGTATCGTATGGTCTTCCCCATTTAATGAAAGTAATCTGTGTATCAGATGTGAGGCTATAGTAAATTGTACGCATCACTGATACGACCGCAAGTCATTCTTACGTATAATGTGTATCACGTGGTATGGAAAACAGCTGTTCTAGATCTTTATCATTCGTAATACATCAAAACTTTGGCTTCTCAGATCGTTTTAGATGAGTTATGTACGAAATTTTGATACGACAAAATCGTGACCAGAATAAAATTCTAATGCGCATAAATAAATGTCCCGGAACAAAGTTGAATTATTAATAAACACATGTTAAGAATGAACGTACGTTCGAAAAGGTTCAGTCTTTGTGTGTTTCTTTTATTATTAGGCGCAATATATTTCTTTTCAAGGAAATCTTCCATCCTAGAATCGAATAATAAAGATGTAGTATCTCTTAGATCGTTGCTCGTTGCTGCCATAAAGGCAGCTGAATTGGGCGGATATGAAGTCGTTTCTGTGCACGAACAAACTAACTTTAATATTGAAAGTAAAGGGAAAACTAAAGAAGGTAATGCTTATTTATCTTAAAAAGAGATGTGCTTCATTTAGAATTAAAACATAAACATATCTTTTTTACTTCAACAGGCGAAAATGATCCAGTAACAGCAGCAGATTATAGATCACACTGTGCTATGTATAATTCTTTAAAAGATGCATTTCCAGGCATTACTGTAATATCCGAAGAAGCATCAAAAGACTGCGATAAAGTTGTTGTCCCTGATCTTAGGAATGCTTTTAACAACCTAAGAGAATATGATATAGGGGATGACTTTGAAAATATTAAAGATATCACTATTTGGATTGATCCTTTGGATGCTACAAAGGAGTTTACAGAAAATTTATTACAATTTGTAACGACTATGGTCTGCATTGCCGTAAAAGGAAAACCTATAATAGGTGTTATTTATAAGCCATTTGAAACAAAGAAAGACCACAATTTATATTGGACTTGGACTGGTCATGGAGCTTCACCAAATTTATATAATTTGCCAAAGGTAATATATTTATAATAAATTATCTTTGTATGAATTTGATTAAAATATGTTTTTTCTTTTTTGATGCAGCATGAAAATAAATTGCCAATTTTAATTGTATCACGGTCACATGCTGGACAAGTTAATAACGCTTCCAAAACTGCTTTTGGTAGAAATGTTCAAATTGTTTCTGCTGCAGGTGCAGGTAATATATTTCTTAAATCGTATATTGGAGAACAAATGCTATGATGTTCTATGTTATAAAAAAAAAAAAAAAAAATGCAATTTATGTTTAGGTTACAAGTTTTTAGAGGTAGCAGTTGGAAATGCAACTGCATACGTTCATATGACTGCTATCAAAAAGTGGGATATATGTTCTGGAACAGCCATCATCAGGTATACCTTAATATAAAACGTATAGTAAGTAATTATTTTGAAAAACTAATATAATTTCCTTTTCACGTATAGTGCTCTTGGTGGAATGACTACATCATTATTTGATGGACATTTAATTAATTTTGATTCTACTGACACTAAAGTGCTAACATCGGGTCTTTTAGCTACCATGACTGATCATAATTGGTATTTGGATAAATTTTCAAATATACAGCTAAGATCTTTTATTTTATCTCGATAATTCTTTTTTCATTAATATCTAGTTATCATTTCCTGTTCCAGTAAGATAATTCGATTACTATTTTTACCCTCTCTGCAACAGCTATTTTAACAGTAACGAAAAAATATTCTTTGATGTATATTGTAAATACAAGATTTACATATACATACATACATACATATATATATATATATGTATATATGTATATATATATATATATATATATATATATATATATATTTCAACATATTTCAAAAAAACAACCAAAGTTCTGAATTATATGTGTATATAAATAAAAAGAAATTTTGTATGATCATAAGTAATATAAATACCTATTCAATATCATTATTGATATGTAATATAAAATATTGGAAAAATAATATTATCAGATAACATTAAATAATAATTGATCTATAAAGAATAAAATATTTCGAAGAAAAAAACGTTTTACGAATATTATCAATAAAAGTAAAATTTGCGAAAAATTAATAACCAATAGGAATCAAGATATATTTGATGAACACGATTGGTCGTTAAGTGTGAAACTCGACCAATTGCTTTCGTCGATTTTGTATTAATGATGAGTCAGTGATAAAACAAAATGGCGGATGCACTTTATGTTTTATACCTCTGACGTTTCAGTCTATGCCCTATGTTCCGCTCTATCGTATTTTATCAAGCTTTAGCATATTGATGCAAAAAGCTTGCCCTTCTAAAACGTATCAAGTGAAACGAGTCAAAAATAAAAAAAAAAAGAAAAAAAAAAATAAAAAATGAAATTCGTTAATGTTAAACCGATGTTACGTTTTTAAGTAAAAAAGAAGAAAATGAAAAATACAAACAATTACTGCATTCTGCAATGAACAGCGGTTATGTTTTCCAATGGAAAGTGGTTTAACGACAATGGCGGGACTGTCTCCGTCGAAAGTAAGTTGTTAATGTATCACTTCTTTCCTGCCTAAAGAGAAAAAAATATACTATAATATTCAATCCACATACTAAGCAAATTTTTCCTATTAAAAATATCGATAGCATGAATAATTATTAACAACATAAATAAATGTAGAACGATAAGATTTAGCTTAGGCTACGTATTATACAAAACTTCGTGTCAAATCGGAACGCTTATTTCATTAATTTTTATGTAAATTCCTTCAAGTTATCTTATCAACTTGCAAGCACTATTGTCGATTATTTATATTTCTTAGAGAGATATTTTAAAGAAAAATATTATTTAAATCGTGAAATTTTTGATCGTTCGTAGTATATTATATTTATTTTCTTTACGTATTTTCTTACGTGCTCATAGTCTGGCAACTGTTTAAAGTTTGCCCTTGATGATTCATACTTCGTATTAATTTTTTATGACGTTATATTTATCAAATATATGTGTATATAATATATATATATATATATATATATATATATATATATATATACAATATATAATGTATATTAAATGTTTAATAATTCAGATATCAGGTTTAATTAAAGAGAAAAAAAAAAGAAAAAATTAATAAACAAATGAATAAATGTGTGATCTTGCATATATAATAGAAATAAATAAAATGATGTTTTTATCTTTTCAGCGACGATTACAGAAGGAATTAATGTCATTAATACGTGAACCACCACCTGGTGTCAGGGTAGATGGTGATTCAGCTGGACAAAACTTGACACAATGGATTGTACACATGGAAGGTGCAAAGGGTACCTTGTACGAGGGAGAAAGATTTCAATTACAATTTAAATTCAGTTCCAAGTATCCCTTTGATTCGCCGGAAGTAACATTCATTGGTAATATACCAGTTCATCCACATGTTTATAGCAATGGCCACATTTGCTTATCAATTTTAACCGATGATTGGTCACCGGCACTGAGTGTGCAAAGTGTATGCTTGAGCATTGTGTCAATGCTGAGTAGTTGCAAAGAAAAGGTATATAAGATCAATTAAATAAATCCTATAGATATTTATTAAATATGATATTAATTTTAGAAAAGGCCACCGGATAATTCTTTCTATGTGAAAACCTGCAATAAAAATCCAAAGAAGACAAAGTGGTGGTATCACGGTAAGATAAATTTCTTCAAAAAACAATCATAAAGGAAGAAAGCGTTGTATAAAGTCGCACAATATATGAAACAATTTTATTTCTTTTTTCGATTAGATGACAGTGTTTAAAGGCAAGGTCCGTACATAAATCCTCAAGTTGCATATGTATGGGTATCATTGGACCAAATGGAAAGAAATTTTTCCTGTGTCTTAAAGGAACGTTAAAAATTTTCGCAACTAAATTGCTGGGATTTTAATACATAGCTGAAATATGTAGGTGCATAAGCTAGAAAAGTGACTACGGCTTTATGACATACTTATGACCGTAATTAAAAGAAAAAAAAAGAAAAAAAAAAAGAAAAAAAAAAAAGAAACCGGCATTTCAAAGTATTGAAGTCTCGCTCGGTCACGAATTATTACATTGTTAATAATAATAATAATGAAATGTATTACATGTTAGGTTTAAAATGAAGAATACTAAATTCATAATGCTAAGAGAAAAACAGATAAAGATAAGATGTAGATATAAAAATTGCAAAATTTCTTTCTTCGTTTAGAGTAGCAAATCTCTATTTGTTAATACCAATTTAAACGTATTAGAAAGGATCTCTTATCATTATGTAACATTAAAGCTATGAAGCGATCACGAATTCTATCGCACGATGTAAATTCTTTGTTTATTACATTTAATCATAAGGATGAAGCATAGAAAAGTAATCGAACGTTAGTTGTATTAAGAAGAGAGAGAGAGAGGGAGAGAGAGAGAGAGAGAGAGAAAAGAAGAAAAAACCAAAAGAAACACAAAAAAGCAATAGGTGTTACGTGAATCGGAATGCAAGTAACACGGTATCAAAAGGTATTTCATTCTTATCTTGTATCCCAATTAAAGGAGTTTAACATTATCGTTACCTAATCGTTGTGGTAGCTCTTATCTTTCATGAAGTAGTATTAACAAGAGTGATCACGACTTGTCTCTGTGCGACGATTGATTTAGTTTACGTTCGATATGTGTGTAGTCTTTCTTGTATAACATTTAAACGATGTTTACGTACGATAGCTCTTCATATTTTAGTACGATACGGCACGCGTGTTCAACGATCTTTTTATGTTACATATTTTCTATCAATTTAGCGAAGACATAGTGTATCTTTTTTCATATTAAAAATAAAGTCTACTGCTTTACGTTATGATACACCGATATTATGCATTTCCATGGCTCGTCATCGATAAGAATAAAAATGTGATACCTTCGAGTTTAGCTTTCGAAAATTTTTCTTTTCGATCTCGGAATAATTCGCACCCGCGCGCGCTCGTGCGCGAACGCGTCTTTCAAATAGTCTACATAGCGTATTCAATGCGGAAGCACAGTATGTTTGTTGCTCTCGACGATCAAATAGCCAAGGGATCTCGTTGAATTGGGTAGATGTTACGAAATAGCAGGTTAAATTCAACGAGGAGGAAATAGAGTCACGAAGGGTTGAAATTGTAAATGAAATAAAAAGAAAAAAAACAAAAACAAAAAAAGAAAAAAACAAGAAAAAAAGATTAATCAAACCTCGTTCGATTCTCAAAGAACGAACAAACTTATCCGTGATATTTATATTTACACCAAGTTCGTATGGCCAGCGATAGATAACGATCTCTAAATTAATGATTCACGATACGGTACGATACGATAGAGACAGGAGAGGATAATTTATTCGAAAGAAATTCAAGATGTCTCCAAGTAATAAACGATCGATGCTCCCTTGATGTCCATCAATTTCAACTTCGTGCTACAAAAATTTCATTATTGTACAAACGAACGACCCCGACGACGATTGAATAAATGCAGTCGCTGAAATATTTTTTATTTTCTACGTAGACACATACATACATATGTACATGCATACATACATACATACATACATACATACATACATACATACATACATACATAGATACATAGAGACGTCCATCGAAGGAACGAACGGCCAATTGATTTTGTCGAGGCAAGCAGAAACCTTGAAGCATATATCTAATCGCAAGTGTATTGGTTCGAATGTCGGTCATCGCTTTAATTCTTTCCAAGAACAATTACAAATCTCATTATCGAAGGACAATGTTGATAAAAATTAAATATATCAAAATTAAATATAAAGAAATGGGAATGCTATCTTTTCTCAAGAAATAATATCATCGGTTAATCGGCCTTGTCGTTGGAACGATTCGAATGTTCAATTTATCTTTTCTCAAGGAAATAATAAAATTAGAAACGCAATCTATCGTTCGTTAACTTATTTGCAAAGTGTTCACGTTCGATGTCGAAGATCGGCCATTCTGTGCTTCTAACTCGTGCGTGATACACTCGAGGAGAGTCTCGAAGAAATCTCGCGTTGTCGTTACATTCGTTTAAAAGGCATATCGAGAAAGAGAGAGAGAGAGAGAGAGAGATAAATAGGAGAATGGAAAGGGAAAGAGTGAGAGAGAGAGAGAGAGAGTGAGTGAAGAGACACGAGTCGACCCGCGCCTGGAAACTACACTCTCGTCGAACTAAGTGGGGGCAGTTCGGGCAAGTTTAGTACGAATATCGATTCAGTCTCGCGCAAACCACCCCCGTGTGCCGATGCTTCAGCTCCACCTTTTGGGGGAGCTTTTTCCACCTCGCTTACGTTTGACAACGCTCGTCGTTATAAACATAGATTCGGTTAAAGAGGGAGGCGAGAACGAGTTAACGAAAGAGAACGATCAGAGAGAGGCAAAGAAAAAGAAACACCACGGGAGCTTTCACGAATAGCTCTCGTCAACGTTGAACGCGAAGCAATCGTGGCTCGATCGTGAAGAAAAAGAAAAAAAAAATATATATATATATATCTATATATATAAAAGAACATTTCGATTTCAACAAAAAGACATAGGACATCTAAGTTCGTTCCTTTTCATTGTCAAGCATAGGTCCATGAAATGAGACTAATGTGCAAGCTCGTCGAAGGGTGGTAAGGGGTAGGGGTTGGAGGGTGATAGGATCTCAGGCGAGGGTTGAAGACATCGAAAGAGAAGCTTTTATGTCTCTGGTTAAAGCGAAGCCTTAGAACGAAGAGGACACAACGGCGGTGACTCCGTCTGCGACGACTCCCGCCGATCGAACATGTCGCGATTTCACGAGGGACGGACGAAATCGTGTTTCTACTCTTGACTAAGTCTTCTAAATATACGAGCAAGACGGTGGTGGTTCGATCATCGAAAGACATCAAGAGAGACATGTCTTCGATATCAGCTCAAGGCGTCGTTGAGAGAGCCAGCGCCGAATTGACCAAGAGGATCAACGGTTTGGGATTGAGGACCTCGAAGCATCATGGTCGGTGAAAGTTATCTTTTATTACCTTCTTTCTTTCTTTCCTCTTTTTTTTTTTTTTAACCCTAATCTTCGAATTCTAATCACGAAAATCGAGTTGCCCGCCCACCTTGACAAATATCCCCTCGATAAAAATAAGAAACAAATGATCGTTCGCGAAACATATCATTCCTTGCAATTATAATATTATAGTTCGATTATTAGCGTTCTTCGTAAACGTCTAGAATTCGTCCATCTGAATTTTCAGCTTCGACTACTTTTGATGCAAGTTTCGGGTGCAAGCTTTCCTTCGTCTTCATTTTCGATGGAGAATTCATCATCGTTACGTAATAACGCGTAGATATTATGCCGGCGATTACAAAGGTAATTTAGCTGGTCGCGAATCAATGCGTCTTATCTTTTTTCTTTCTTTTCTTTTTTTTTTCTTTTACATACACATAATAATTAGAAACTTTAGGCAATTGGAAGAAAAATGGAGGGGGTGGAATGGGGGCGGGGATGAGGAAGAGAAAGAAAAAAAAGAACGCATTTTACAAGCGCATACACGCTCGACGACTTTTCCATATCGTATTAATTTTTCACTTTTCATCGTCATTTTCGTAATCGACTTATGTTCTTTCATACGTCATCGTACGTATCTACGTACATACGTGTATTCCATATCATCGAAAGCGAAAATGAGAATTTTTGTTTCTTTCTTTCGTTCATCGTTATGCAATTTCGTCGAGTAGTGTCGAGTACACTCGTGGTCCGATTCACGGTCCGATTACCCCCTATCCTTCTTGTTCTCGGCCATTTATGCTATGCCTCTGATCCTTTATTTTCCAACTCGAATTATTTACGAAGCGTCGATAGTCGCCGCAATCTTAACTGCAGTGAAATCGATAGCATTTGGCCGCGTGCGTATAAAAATAGAGAGAGGCTCGATGTACTTAGGGAGAGAAAGCGAAAAGAGAGAGAGAGAGGAAAGAAAGAGAGAGAGAGAGAGAGAGAAGGAATAGAAATTTTCCTTCTATTTCTCTCTCTCTCTCTCTCTCTCTCTCTCTCTCTCTCTCTCTCTCTCTCTCTCTCTCTCTCTTTCTTTGTTTCTTTTTTTTAACGAGCGTCCTTTACATCTCACCTTTTACGAAAAGATGTCACGAACTGTTCGTTCGGTCTGTAATTTTAACCGCTCTATGATTTAGAAGCGCGTCGTTTAGTACGCCAAGTAAATGACGTAGATGTTTACGAGGGTCGTAAAACATTTCGCGTGTCATACTCGCACTGCACCAATCGCAACCATTCTATTGTTGCGATAATAATAGTAAAGAGGATTAAAGAAAATGATTGTCGAAGAATGAGAGTAAAAAAAAAAAATAGGGAAAGGAAAAAAGGGAAAATGGACGATAGATCGTAACTTAATACGGAGCGTATTTTATCGAAGGTTCAATCAAGATAGGAAAACGAGAGGAGCGATTCTAAATTCTGCAACGTTCATTTATTTTTATCTTCTTCTGAGATTATCACTTGAGATACGAGGAGACCCTTCTAGTACTTACGTCCCTTCGATTTAAAAAGAAAAAAAGGAAAAAGAAAAGGGAAAAACGGCGTTAAGGAAATGTTCCCGCCATTTTTTTACTTACTTTTTTTCCTTTTCTTTTTTCAAAAGCCCTTGAGCATCGTCGAGTTTGCCGCCGTGTTCTGCTTACAACTCATTTCGTTGTTTCTTTTTTTTTCTTTTGCTTTTATTCCATCACAGGTGGAGGGAGGACGAGCGTCATGGAACGCGTTACGAATGTCTTTTGCGGAGGCGGTGGGGTGGCATATACAAATTTGCAGAGCGCGAACAACGTAAACACGATTCCGGAGAAGCCGAGTAGGAGCGTTCCAACGTCGATGAATAACATGTCAACAGGGAACAACAAAACTTTGAACAATGGTACAGGTAGCAGACCAAGGATATCACGGAACAAATCGAAAACTGTTAGCCTCGCGAGTGGTGGTATGGGAGGGTACGTCGCACCGAGCACGTGGGAGCAGTTATTGCAAGATGATCATTTTCTTGGACGATTCTTTCTTTATTTCAATGCCACCGAGAGAAGGATATTGGCTCAGGTAAAAGGAAAAAAAAAAAAACAAAACAAACAAAAAGAAAACAAAAAAATAAAATGAAAAACAAAATGGATCGTCCGATTTGACAGTGTTACGTTTACATTAACTTTATTATACTGTGCAGGTATGCACGAGATGGCGAGACGTTCTATACGCGAGACCAAGACTCTGGGCAGGTTTGGTACCAGTAGTCAGGTGCCGAGAAGCTCGATCTATGCCATCCAGCTCGCGTACACGTCTCTATGCCTCCTTGGTAAGGCGAGGTTTTCATTCGTTAGTTTTATTGGGTGCCGCAGATGAAGATATACCAGAGTTAACGCATGGATTTCCTCTTGCGCAACGATACGTTCATTCCTTATCATTACGATGTTGCGCTGTCACCGACAGAGGTCTCGAAGCTCTTTTAGATCATATGCAGGTAAGATGATTCGTTTATATAAATGATAATAATGATGATTATGATATGACGATGATAACGTTAATGTGTTTGTTGCAAGCTGATAAACATGAAGATATAATAGATCGAAATGTTTGTCTTCTCTCAATCGTTAGGCTCTTTTCGAATTGGAACTGGCTGGTTGTAATGAGATCACCGAAGCTGGACTTTGGGCTTGTCTCACGCCTAGGATAGTATCATTGTCCTTGTCCGATTGCATAAACGTCGCAGACGAGGCCGTAGGTGCAGTAGCCCAATTGTTACCCAGTCTTTACGAATTTTCGCTCCAGGCTTATCATGTAACTGACGCCGCATTGAGATACTTCAGCGCCAAACAGAGTAGCGCCCTTAGCATTCTCAGGCTCCAATCCTGCTGGGAACTCACCAATCAGGCAGTAATAAATATTGGTGAGGCATTGTCGTTATTGATTTTGAAAATGATATTGATGTTATTGTCGTTATCGATCGCAAATGTTCTTGAGCGACCTACATCCTTTGCAAAATAACGTTTTATCGGTCACGCGGTACGCGATGATCGTATGATGTCGTCACGTCTTCTTAGCGCACGATCATATAATTCGTGTTTGCGCGTGTCGATCCGTAAAGTATATCTGTAAATGGAAAAACGAGATCTATGTGTACGTGTGTGTGCACGTATAGTCTTTCTCTCTCTCTCTCTCTCTCTCTCTTTCTCTTTCTTTGTATGCCTATGTACTTTAACGTTCTAAGAATATGATAAGCACTCCACCGACCGGCTAAAACGTGAAATTGAATCAGTCACACACACGTGCTGAAGATTAAATATAGAATTAAGGAACAGCTTTATTTAGCATTCAAGCTGTCAGTCAGGGTCGTCTCGTGAATTTTACGGGACCAAAGATTAAGAGAAAGGAAACTTCCTAATTGTGAATCCTTAAAAAATATATCAAAGAAAATTCTTTTAGAAGTTGATACTTAACGAAGTACAGTACGTTGACCATATCATCAAATGTTTCTCCGATCAATCATCGGTCTAATACAAGATACAGGACATACTTGTATAGATGCCAACGAGACGGTCTTGCAATCGTAGTTCACGGAACGTTTACGATCGTATAAAATAAATGTATAATTTAGAATTTGATTAATGGAAATTCTACGAATATGATTAGATCTCTAAGCGTTAATTTTAGCTAATAATAATATCTAGCTCACGTACTCATTTTTTTTGTCGTAGTACATTCCTTGCCAAATTTGACTGTATTATCACTTTCTGGATGCAGTAAAGTGACGGACGACGGTGTAGAATTAATAGCGGAAAATTTGCTAAGACTTCGTTCCTTAGATCTGAGCTGGTGTTCGCGAATTACAGACGCAGCCTTAGAATATATCGCCTGTGATTTAAATCACTTAGAGGAACTTACGTTAGACAGGTAACGATAAATACCGACCGTTAAACATGCATATTACCTCGAAGCATATGTATTATTTACGTTACTTTTTTTCCTTTTAAATAGATGCGTCCACATAACGGATATTGGCGTAGGTTATATTTCAACAATGGGATCCCTAAGTGCTTTGTTCTTGAGATGGTGTTCACAATTAAGAGACTTCGGACTTCAGCATTTATGCGGTATGAGATCCTTACAAGTGCTTTCCGTTGCTGGTGAGTTACTCTTTATCGTTAAATCTCTACGATTAATATAATCGTAACGATTAAATGAAATAATTTCATTTCCAGGATGTCCATTACTTACTAGTAGTGGCTTATCTAGTCTGATACAGCTTCGTCACTTACACGAATTAGAGCTAACCAACTGTCCAGGAACGTCACGTGAGCTCTTTGATTATTTACGAGAACACTTACCACGTTGCCTAATCATTGAATAAGAGGAACCGAGTGTTAACTACGGTATTTGCGATACAACCTCTTTGATTTCGAACGTAGTCGCGTTGCTCGGCGATACGAAGGTGCAAACTCGGCACGACTTTGCGGAAGACTTGTATTATTTGTATACAGAAAGATATGTGCAAAGTAATACGTAGGGGAGGGAGAGAAAGTAAAAGAAACAAATGACAATGGTACATATGTACTAGCGAAAGGTATATCACGCAAGCGAAACGCTGATGACGTCCATATTCTGAGAGCATAACTATGTTTTTCTTCTAACGGGCATGGAAAAGGCCACACGCGATATAATAAATTAAATTAAGTAGTCTTTAGGCCTTTTTAATACACCGACGCCAGCATTTAACTGCACTTGTTCATTCGCGTTATGTTTTAACTGATCATAGTTTTATTATCTTCTTGTCTGCGTAATACGTATAGATACATAATCCTAATACCTCTTTGTATATGTTCTTAAAGCATGTTTTTTCGAATAACGAGTATCACCCATTATTCGACAAAAGCCAAAGATATATATACATATATATATATATATATACACACATATGTGTATATGTATATCAGAACGAGAAAGAGGACTCACATAAGTCACCGGATTCGTTTCTCTATTCTGTATATTTCTATAGGAAAAAGAAAAAAAGATGTGTTACGCATGACATATTTTAATGGTTAGAGCTGTGATAAGATTTGTGTTACATAAAATTCCATTTGACTTTGAAATGTTCATGATATATTATATTATATTATCGATATTCATGCCGCTTCACTATTTGCACCTGCAATCGGAATATTAGATAATTTGCTTTAAAGAATCCTCCTAGAAAAACTATACTGTTACGAGACATTTACGAAACATGTTACCGGTTTATCTAGTACTTTATTCTTAAAAGATATGCTTCATATAATCTGTTTTATAATACATGTTATTGAAATAAGAACTGAGATCAATTATTACATATTTATATATTATGAGAAATGATATTTGTATTCGTGATTTTACTTGAGAATTTACTGTAATGGAATTAGCCTTTTTTAAATTTATAGTTTACCGTCGCGCTTTAGTTATTTCAAATTCCTTATGCAATAACACGTTAACAAGTCTAATATGATATAAACGGAGTATTTCGTGTGTTTAAAGTATTTAAGAACTTTACTATTTGGTTAACCCAATATGTCCTGCGACATATTAAACGATGTTAATATTTTAAGATAATATCAATGGAAATTTATTATTTATGTTGTATTTAATAACTCGCGTATAATAATTTATAGGTAGCCAACTAGAAAGATCTGTTTTCTATAACATTGTAATTATTTTTGCGTGTGTTATCACGTGTTTAGTACACAACATCTTTGTATATATTGTACAAATTATTCTTACTAATTCTGTTATCAATCAAAACTAAGCGTAAACATACCTGCACATGAAAAAAATTGTATTGGAAAATATGTCACTTTGTGATGCAGGTCACAGATGTAACATTCTATGATACATTGAGATGTGCTGTGAAATATAAATTTATTGATGAAGATTCAGTACTTTTAAATGTTGCATTTAATAAGTCTGAAAGTATTCACTGCATTTTCACAGGCTTTTATGCATTTTCCCACCAAGTAAGTAAACCAAGACCAGGTTCATCTATAGCACCCTGTGTGGTTAGGTAATGTGAAAAAAGTTAAATAATACAAAAGTTGCAAATTAAAAAATGTAATACTTCCAATTGATTTATACTTACGCCCAAAGTATAAGGAGATATATTGCTAACTTCAGGTTTTTCAACAGTTTCATTAGAAATGTTAGGACCTGATGGTAATGTTTCCGTAAAGGATTCACTGACTACTCGGAATCTAATGATTTCGCCTAAGGGGATATAAAATTATTCGATAAAGAAAATAATTAAATACATTTCTAATGGCAAAATGATAACAAATATATACCTGCATCCATAAAAAGATCATGTTTTTCTCCATCCCCAGTATCGTATTCCCAAATCCATGCTTGTTCCGCTTGATCGAATCTAGAGGGATGCTGTAATTTGTGAGGTGGAATAACTATATCCTCGAAAAATCCTAATGTTACTAAAATAGAAATTTGAAGTTGAAATTATAATGTATATGCAAACAAAGAAAAGCAAATGAAAATCTTTTTATGTAGTTAATTTTATTTACCATGAACTCCATCAACGCTACAACTACGTATTTTTCCTATTAGAATCTCCTCCATAAATGGACGGAACACTACAAATCTAAATAATACTTTTGTATGTGAAGAACCATCTCCTGGAAAAATATATGATTCTTCTATTTTTGTTATGTCGTGCAATGCAATGCAAAGACCCACGTTTAAATATACCTGAAATTTTAAACTTAATTTTGTTGCCGTATTAAACTTAAGAAAAATTTGACATGACATTACCTTATTAGCTAATTTCCTATTTAATTCGTCAGTGATTGCATCATTCAATTTTCGTTTAAATTTCCATGGTGGTATTCTAACGGTATCTTTAAGTTCCGCAAGTACGAACATATTTTAGAAATTTCTTTATTTACATACAATTCGACGACGCGGCAAAGTGATAGGTTAGATTTATATATCAAATACAAATAACGATATTCTTTTCGTTATACAATAATTATACGAATTATGTAAATGTTAATATTTTAAATTTACTTCTATTAAATTAGATTTGTATATATGATTTATCCTATCGTTAAAAAGCATGTTAAAGAATCAACTAACACAACATTTCCTACACCATTCGTACGAATATGACAAAAACTACAAGGCTATTTTACATGTTCCGCTCGTAACGCATGCGACTTCAGCGACAGATATGGACAAAATATGAACTACGAGAATAAATAAGCGAGAGTAAATAAGACTAGAATAAAATATAATTTAAAAATGGTATTTTGCGAGAACAGTACATGCACAAATAAAAAGCTTATGCACAAATTTGAAAAAGTAAATTCTTAGATAAAATTTTCATCTTTAAAATGAGATTTTGTTTATCAAGATTAGCTGAGAATAATGCCTGTTCTCATTGTTGACATAAATGCTCTTTTCCACAATTTTTAGGAAGAAAAAGTTTAGTACTGTGACGTCTTTCGAAATTTGCGACAAAAGAGAAGAAGTTCGTACACCCACTACTGCTATTTCCATATCACTAAGAATGAGGTACGATTTATCATGACAAAGCGATTACCTAATTGTTTATATATGTAAATAGCTGATATTTAGATATTCTGCATCATTACAAACGTAAAGAATGCGTTTCAGGATGATAGCACGAAGAAACATACTCCATCATTATTTCAATAAATAATTCTATGGCAAAAATAAGGAAATTCGTGTCCAAAGTCAAAAAGATTATAAGGCGACAAAAACTTAAAATAATTTCAATTTGAAATTCGGTACTTTAAAATTTCAATCTTGGTGTAGTATAAACATAAACGATCCGACGAATAACTTTGACAATTAACGAGTTAGTTTCCTTTTGCACTCCGACCAGTGCACATCAATACTTTTTTTCTAAATGCGTAAATTTATAAATTTATACTTTCGATAGTTTTTCAATTATTTAAACAATCTTTAATGTACACGGTGTACAATAAACTAATATTTAAACATTAGTACATTCGTTTAAACATTACGAAAATCAAAACGCGTGACGAACTTAAAATAATTTCAATATAAAATTCCAGTACTTAAAAATTTCGGCTTCGGGTTTGTTGGCCTTCTGCAATATAAACATAAACAGTCCTTCGATTAATTTTGACAATTACCGAGTTAGTTTTCTTTTGAACCCCGACCAGTGCACATCGGCACGCTCTCTTTCTAATCGCAACATATAAATTAATATTTCCGATACTTTTTCAATTATTTAAACAATCTTTAATGTACGCGCTGTACAACATACTAATATTTAAAGAATAATACACTCTCTTAAACATTACGAAAATCAAAACGCGTGACGAACTTAAAATAATTTCAATATAAAATTCCAGTACTTAAAAATTTCGGCTTCGGGTTTGCTGGCCTTCTGCAATATAAACATAAACGGTCCTTCGATTAACTTTGACAATAACCGAGTTAGTTTTCTTTTGCACTCCGACCAGTGCACATCGACACGCTCTCTTTCTAATCGCGACAACATATAAATTAATATTTCCGATACTTTTTCAATTATTTAAACAATCTTTAATGTACGCGGTGTACAACATACTAATATTTAAATAATAATACACTCTCTTAAACATTACGAAAATCAAAACGCGTGACGAACTTAAAATAATTTCAATATAAAATTCCAGTACTTAAAAATTTCGGCTTCGGGTTTGCTGGCCTTCTGCAATATAAACATAAACGGTCCTTCGATTAACTTTGACAATAACCGAGTTAGTTTTCTTTTGCACTCCGACCAGTGCACATCGACACGCTGTCTTTCTAATCGCGACAACATATAAATTAATATTTCCGATACTTTTTCAATTATTTAAACAATGTTTAATGTACGCGGTGTACAACATACTAATATTTAAATAATAATACACTCTCTTAAACATTACGAAAATCAAAACGCGTGAAGAACTTAAAATAATTTCAATATAAAATTCCAGTACTTAAAAATTTCGGCTTCGGGTTTGCTGGCCTTCTGCAATATAAACATAAACGGTCCTTCGATTAACTTTGACAATAACCGAGTTAGTTTTCTTTTGCACTCCGACCAGTGCACATCGACACGCTGTCTTTCTAATCGCGACAACATATAAATTAATATTTCCGATACTTTTTCAATTATTTAAACAATCTTTAATGTACGCGCTGTACAACATACTAATATTTAAAGAATAATACACTCTCTTAAACATTACGAAAATCAAAACGCGTGACGAACTTAAAATAATTTCAATATAAAATTCCAGTACTTAAAAATTTCGGCTTCGGGTTTGCTGGCCTTCTGCAATATAAACATAAACGGTCCTTCGATTAACTTTGACAATAACCGAGTTAGTTTACTTTTGCACTCCGACCAGTGCACATCGACACGCTGTCTTTCTAATCGCGACAACTTATAGATTAATATTTCCGATACTTTTTCAATTATTTAAACAATCTTTAATGTACGCGGTGTACAACATACTAATATTTAAATAATAATACACTCTCTTAAACATTACGAAAATCAAAACGCGTGACGAACCTAAAATAATTTCAATATAAAATTCCAGTACTTAAAAATGTCAGTTTCGGGTTTGCTGGCGTTCTGCAATATAAACATAAACGGTCCTTCGATTAACTTTGACAATAACCGAGTTAGTTTACTTTTGCACTCCGACCAGTGCACATCGACACGCTGTCTTTCTAATCGCGACAACATATAAATTAATATTTCCGATACTTTTTCAATTATTTAAACAATCTTTAATGTTCGCGGTGTACAATATATTAATATTTAAATAATAATACACTCTTTTAAACATTACGAAAATCAAAACGCGTGACGAACTTAAAATAATTTCAATATAAAATTCCAGTACTTAAAAATTTCGGCTTCGGGTTTGCTGGCCTTCTGCAATATAAACATAAACGGTCCTTCGATTAACTTTGACAATAACCGAGTTAGTTTACTTTTGCACTCCGACCAGTGCACATCGACACGCTCTCTTTCTAATCGCGACAACATATAAATTAATATTTCCGATACTTTTTCAATTATTTAAACAATCTTTAATGTACGCGCTGTACAACATACTAATATTTAAATAATAATACACTCTCTTAAACATTACGAAAATCAAACCGCGTGACGAACTTAAAATACTTTTAATACAAAATTCAAGTACTTTAAAATCTTAATCTCGGGTAATTGACCTCGCGTAATATAAACATAAACGGTCCTTCGATTAACTTTGACAAGTACCGAGTTAGTTTTCTTTTGCACTCCCACTAGTGCACATCGACACGCTCTCTTTCTAATCGCGACAACTTATACATTAATACTTTCAATAATTTTTTAATTATTTAAACAATCTTCAATGTAGACGGATTACAAGAAACTAATATTTAAACAATAGTACATTCTCTTAAACATTGAAATGGTCGTAACTCGCGAGAAAATTAAAATAATTAAAATTTTGTTTGTTTATTTAAATTTTAGACTGCCTTTCCTTGATTGAGTGTGAAGTCAACAAAATTAAATATCTGATCGACTTGGACTGTTACTAGATCAGTTTTCTTTGGGATTCCGACGAGTAAGCATCGAAGCTCTCTGAGGATATCTTTGCTGCATAGTTATAATGAAGACTTAAAGTAAATATATTTCTATATCATATATTTCTTTAATAATTTATACAGTTTCTTATTATAACAGTGATACTAATTATTTTGTTTGTATTTTTCTGTTTCAAAATTTCATTGTAATCGCGCGCATAGCAATGAAGTAATCGAATGTTTTTATCGATAAAATGAAAATATCACCAATTAGAAGCAGTGTTTGTTCGTTCGCGTTTCGCGTTTTAAACAACAAATGTTTTTACATCGACTGCGTGCAATGCAGTCGTTAGAGTCAGTGTTTGTTCGCAAAGTGTTCTGCTTTTTTAACAGTCGCACAAACTTTATTTATAAAAGACAGTTGAGTTTCGTGAAATAAATTCAGTGAACGTCCGTTAATAAATAACTACCGCGAATTAGAATCAGTGCATCACTGAAGAGGATCTTCATCAACTTCGATGTCGACCTATCTAATGTTGAAGAATCATTCATTCTCAACTTCGACTTAAACTGCGAACGAGTGTTTTGGAGCCATCGCAGAACTTCTTAAGTAGTGAGTAAATTTTTAAATCCCTCCGATACTGATTCTAACTTCTGCTACGTTGCAAGAAATTATCTTTCGAAAAAATAATAATAAGTTTTCAGATACGTTAGGATTGAGTTACGGTTTTCTTTCATATCTTAGAATTTGAAATTAAATTTTGTCGGTACAGTTTTAGAATAATAATCGACTAGGTTGGGCCACGAAACAAAGAAGAGGCTATATACCGAAGAAGCCCCCCCAACATATGCCTCAAGAGGATTACTATTAGGTTATTGAATTATTTTCGAAGGGTCACTAGAAACTTTTGAGAATAGCTCTTAGTCGCATTTTAATGTTACAATGTTGTCACTCGAAATGCTCTTATGGTGATGGGTGTAAGGATGTAGATTTAAAAAATTGAGATGAAGTAACATTCCGTAAATAACATTACCACATTGCCATATGATTATTTCGTATTTTATGCATTTTTAATATTAAACTCGATACATAAATTTTATACATTTTCTCTTTTCTAAAATTCAGTTCAATTTGTAATTCCAGTTTAATAAAATCAAATTTTACGTTAAAGTCGATTGATAAATATTGTACATTTTCTCTTTTCTACAGTTCAATTAAATTCATAATTTTATTTTAATAAAATCGAGTTCTATATTAAAATCATATATCTATGAAATGTACAAGTAATATAATATTTTTTTCAGAGAAAATAATATTTCTTTAGATCAGTATTCTGAATTTTTCATTTCTTATTTTTTCTTTTAATTAATCTTTTATTTTTCTTAAGTTTAATTAAATTAAATTCCAGAATTTTATCATAATTAATATACATATATACATTTTCTTTTTTCTTTCCTTATTTCTTTTCAGCTAGTGGCAGATCGTGGGATCGCGAACACGGGAAGGAATAATTAATAAATAAGAATATTTCAACATTTACACAACGCACGATATACGTAAAGTATAATT